AACTTTAGTGGAGATGCAGTGTTATAATTAAAAATTTTCAGTTCCAACAAAAACTCCATTTTGTCTTTTCTTTTTCCCCTCTTGTAATGTTAAAACATGTACACAGAGTAGATTTTTCAAAGTGCAGTTAGAAATGGATTCACAGAGGGTGCTTGAAGTGTAAAAAGTTCTGTTTGAGAGTTACAGATCTGCACCTCTTTCTTCCAGTACGTTTCAGTAATAGCTTTGAGATAAGTTGGTGAAGATTTTGGCTTTGCTGTTGAGTATTCTCCAGACATTTCCAAGGCAATTCCCAATTGAAGTATTAGTCCTTGAGTCTGAGACAGCATTAAGGGAACTTCTGGTATCTTTGATACTTACATTGAGAGGGAATATCATATCATATCTTTGGGGAAATTTTAATGAGGGGGGAAAATGATTATTCTGCATACTCCTATCAAAAGAAGAATTACTATCTACTGCTTTCTTTTTCAAGAAGAAGCAATCAGTAAAGATGGGGGGAGGAAGGGAGTACCTTCAGTTCTGGTTAGCTAAGAATTACAAGCTTTTCTTCATCTGTGTCGTAGCATCGGTTCTGCATGGTGGCGATGAGAGTATACTTGTGTGCTGTTCTAAGGACTGCCCGTCCTGAGGTTTCCTGTGCTGCAGGTCTGGAAAATCTGAACTAGTTCATCATCTTTCTACACAGATGATGATTAAAATGGTCACTAGTCAGTTGGTACTCTGTCCTACAAGCATTTCCCACAGAACAGCTGAAGGTAATGTGCACGCTGAAGAGCCTTACTGACTGGGACCAAGTTCCTTACTTTTGTATGCTTTATTTCTTACTCTGTCAATCTTTGCATTTGGAATCTGTTCTTCAAAAGGTCTGAGTTGTGCTGAAAATTGCTTCAGTTGGGCACTTTCTTATGGTATTGTTGCTGGGATTTTGCAAAGTTGCTCTTTTGATATCTTTGATCGAAGTAATTTTTTAATTTGTGCCTGCCCTTTTTAATGGGAAAGGGAGTTTTGCTGCTGTTACTGTATATGTTATGCAGGTAGTACATGTCCCAGCAGTTTCCACTTGTTTACCTAGCTGATGTTTTTTGAAAGTAATCTTGTTACTTTCTTCTGTAGAAGGATTTGGAAATTTTCCAGAAAGGATATTATAAATAGACCAAATCCTTGTTGTGGCTTTTTATGTTCAATATGAAACACATTCTAAAATCCCGTATTTACATTTTTTAAATCTTAAGACAGCGCAATTATCCTCTTCCTATTGCATAATCATTTTGGAACTTTAAAAATAAACTTTATTTTTACCTTTTCAGAATCCAAATAGTTATTTTCCTATGATATAAATGTTTGACTGCAAGCACGTATTTAAGTTTGTACTGTCTCTTTAAAAGATCAGTGTTTAAATTCTTATGAGTTATTGAATAATCATGTCATGATTTTCTGTCTTACCTGAGGGAAAAATGCATTGAACAATAAATTAAATTGACATGCAGTACTTCTGCGTGGACTCTTTGTCATTACACATGAGCATGTGTAGCTGGGTAATGTTTTTGAACCGGGTTGTTTGATCCACTGCAGACAATATTTTGTTTCAATGTGGGAAGATTAGGCATCCGAGAGATTGGGATGCAAACTTAAATCCAGCCCTTACAACTGGATTTTCTTTTGGATCTTATCTGCTTGCAGTTTGATCATAGACAGATTAGGTAGCGTTACCAAGTCCTGTGAGGAAAATGCTGATAGGAGAAGTAGAAGGTGTTCTCACAGGAACACTATTTCCTGGGCTGTAAAAATTAGAACATTGTTATTAGTGATTGAGAATGCCTTTTGCTTAGGTTTGAAGCAAGATGACGAATGTGCAACAGCAATTAAAAACGCATCGTATTTATGTGAAGGTCTGAAGATAAAGTGAAGCAACTGCTGCGTTTTGCTTGCAGTTCAGTGGCAAAGCTATGTCTTTCAGTCGGTGACAGCTGGGAATGTCCTGACTCATGGAGTTGTCTCTTTCTATCTGTACTGCAGTAAGTGACTCGGACCTCCCTGATTTCAGTTGTGTGGAATAAGCATTGTCTACATGCTAGTCTTCCTTCAGACCTTGCACTTGATGTGTTTTGCATTTATTGGGGGAAGGAGACAGGAGTATTGAGCTACCTGGTCTTATGCTTCTGAAATATTTGTGGTAACTGACAATTCAGAAAGAGTGAAGTTGCAAAATATTTGTAGATAAGAGTGTGTACTAATTCTGCAATAGCAGTGAATCCATGAAGTTCTGCACTCCCAAAAGCCAAAATGATCCATCATCGTTTTCCTCAGTTCAGGGTTTGTCTTATAGAGGATTTGGCCTTTGAGCTAGTACAGCCTGTGACTCTTACTCTAGGTAGACCTGCACTGTTGATCTTGCTAAGGAGATCTGCTATTGGAAGACCAGGCAAACTCAGAATCTGGGCTTAGGCAAATTTTAAATAACAAATTTTTTTTTTGTTTTTGTGGGGTTTTTTTCCCTCTTGGGATCCCAAAAGAAAAATGCATTGAATTTATTCCCCCAGGTCATACCTGAGAAATCCAGTCAGTTTACCACGGTAAAACATGGAAAATGCACTGCAGCTTAACGTGTGTCAAAACAACGTCAGGTCGTCTGTAGTGTAGTGTGCTTACGTGTACAGAAAAAGTAACTTTGTTCACATGCTGGTATTTGAAGTGGCTTTACAGGAAGGACACTGTTACAGCTCCACAAATCCACTGAGCACCATATGGAATCTTATTCTGTTCCTAGCCAGCTGCAGCCCTTGACTTGAAGTGATATTAAATCTTTTCATTAGAGCAGGCTTCCTGACAGCTTGTTTGTCCAATAGAATTACATTTTCTATTTGTAGTTTTTGAGCTTCCTCTACTGAGATCTAGTATTGTACTCTTAGTTTAGGCAGGTAATCTGATACTATTTATTTATTCTGTAAGGCTCTTAAGTAGTCTTTTCTTTGAGCATCAGAAGTCCAGCTCGTGGTAAAACTCTCATGTCTCTTGAACAGAAATCTGCTAAATAATTATTTCAACAAGATGTGTACACTGAATCCTTTCAGTGCTATTTCATTACCGTTGGCAGAAACTTTTTTTTTCAGCCTTGGTATCTGGAGAAGGATGGAGATAGTTATTTGTTATTGGATGTGTTCTGAAGGCTGTAGTAAGGCATTCTTCTTCCAACAGTGAAAACCTACTGCTGTGAAAATCTCCTTGTTACAAACCTGTAGACTTTGACTTGATTTTTTTTCCCCCCACAAAAGGATTTTTTTGCTTGAAAATGTCTTTTCTTCAGTAATATTCCCCAGAAGTCAAGTAGATTATCCAGAATAAAACTTAACATTGAGTGATATGAGAGTGCTAGATACAATTTAACATGTTCTATCTTTAGACATAGTTCTTATAATGTGAATTATAAAATCTATAATTTAAAGGTTGTGGAGTTTTGTTGTTGGTGGGTTTTTTTTTTTTAAAGAATTTAACGTTATTATCAGGGTATGTGGTTAATTTTTTGCAACCTTACTCTTTCAAAGTAGGCTAGAGCTGAAGTTAGCTGTACAGTACTGGGCAAGAGAGGATGTGCTTCCTTTTACTTCTAAAAGGTGGTGGTGTTAATTTTTATGGTACCCAAGTGCATGTACAAAAGATGAACCAAAGTTGGCATGATTCAATAACATGAACTTCTCTATTTTAAGAGATGTAGTCCATAGGTGATTTGCAATAGGTTTCTCGTGTTATTCTTATTTTGACAGCAGAACTTGATGTCAGTCAACTGGCAGCAAAGGATGTTTCATCTCCTGAAGCTCCTTGAAAGGGAGATAATTTCTAGACTGGGATTGTTTGGATACTTTTCTTTGTTTTTAAAACAGCAAATAAGAGGGAGGAGAAGCTCAAAATGTGTGTAAACAGGAACTCATGATTTATAGTTAGCTGACTCTTTGGATTCATCTGTACTGTTACAGCTAATGAAATGCCTGTTAAATATCCATTCTATATGGACAAGCACAGCAGCAGAATGGAGGCAGGCTTCACCGTTGTGCTTGTAATGCGTGCTTTCCTGACAAATGACATTAAATGCTGAGTTCCACACTACAGGCACTCAGGAGCAGTGGGTTGTTTACAGGTCACAAGCTTGCTGCTACCACCTTTATTGAATAAGATACTTCTTGTTTGTCCCTCACACCTAGTCTGTCAGCACGTTTTCCCAACTGATCCCAACCTCTGTCCATGATTCTCATGCCTCAGATAATTCTCATTGTTTTGTTCTGGAATCTACTACTTCTCTTTATTCCCTCACTTGCTGTCCTCTGCATTCAGGTCAGGTGATGGTGTCTTTACACTGTCTGAATGCAAGCAGGTTAGCTGTTGAAAACACCTGGCAACGACCTTGGTTTTTTTGCTCCACTTGTCTCTTTCTGCATCCAGAACAACTGGGAGTAGCAACTGGAGAATTTGGCTTTACTCTAGAGCTCTGTGCTAGAAGCTTACTTTTTTTTTTTTTTAGGGCATGGCCGCGTGCTGCCTGGCCATGTAGAGGAGCCGTGCAGGGCTGGCATATACCCAGTGCATGTGGAGTCCTAAGAGATTTTTAGCAATGAAAACCGGAGTGAGAGAAGGATCACTGACTTAATAGGGACCGCCTTCCCTCTTTTCCAAGGAGCAGACTGGGTTCATGAACGACGGGAAAATTGTTAAAACATGACTAAAACGTGCACTTATTAGCCATCTCATGTGCTTTGGTACTATTATAATATATGCTTTTTTAAGCAGTGTTTTGCATTGTGGATGATGCATATAGCTAAGAAATATTGCAGCTCTGTGTAATTCGTAAGACTTATAAATGTGTGCCTGCTGATTTAAGCCCTTTTTAAATTTAGGATCTATAAAAATGATAGAGCCTATCTGCAATTGAAGAGTTGTGGATTTGTACTGCTTTAGAAGTGTCTTGTAGCTGAGTTCCTTATACATCTCTTTATATGCTTCTACAGGTATTTGCCTTTGATCACTGCTTCTGGTCCATGGATGAATCAAACACCACGAAATATGCAGGTAAACTATTTTCTTTACATTTGATACTGTAAATAATTTGCAGATAGATGAGAATCTGGGATTGGTGGGTTTTTTTTTTTGTTTTTTTTCTGTTTGTTTGTGTTTTTTTCAGCATTTTGTGATGTGGTCTCCAAATGACTTTTTCACAGAAGCAGACTTCTCACTTTTATAGGCCTTTAGTCATGTGCGTGGTAGCTCTTCTGTTTGAATGCAAGCTTTAAGGTGCCCAATACACTGTTAAAGAGGGATGCTTTTACATTTAAGCTACTGTTCTCTTTTCGTCACATGCAAGAACCTATTGTGAGAAGCGTTTCTGTCCCTTAAGATGAAATTTCAGTGTTCTGTTGGAAATTACTTCTAAATAATACTAGAGATAAAAGCATGTTTTCAATGCCCTTCATTTCTGTGAATGAAAGAGCAAAAAAAAATCTCAAAGTGTGAACGTTTCAGGTCTTTCAGAACATTTAGGTCATGTAAATACTAAAGCATGATGAAATAATATAAAAGGTCATAGAAAGGATCATATTAAATATTAAAATATTGAAAATTAAATTTTATTTAAATATAAAGTTATTAAATGTAAAATATCTGAACAATCCCTAATCATAATATGATTGAGTGATCAACTTTGACGACTTCTTACCAAAAGCTGATTATTCCAGATCAGATTGTCATCCTAGTGGTTACTTTACTCATATAATGTCATTTAGGTATTATAACATATTAATATTCTGTAAGGAAACTTACTTTGATAGAAACAGCTTTAAACACTATATTTCAAGGCTGTGGTCCATGGAAAGGAGAAAAAAAGTATCCAGTTAAGGTACTTATATTATGAAGTTTTATGGCTTTTGAGAATTCCTGAAGTTTGACAGTATTAATTAGCTCAAAGTTTGAGATCGCTGGTCTCATAAATTAATTGCTATGTCCTTATGTTGTTAGAATATCTCTCTTCTATAGCACCTGATATCAAATCCTAAATCTCAAAAGTTACATTTGATTATAGATTTCTCTGTATTCCTTGCTTGCTTAAGCTGAGTCAGGTTTCTTCAGGAAAACAGCTCTGCTTTAGTCTATCTTTTAGTGACTGTATTTGCACTGAAGAACAGGTGCGCTGCACAATGCTCATCGTCCAGACTGGCAGACCCACTGGAGCACATGACAGCTCCTTTTGTGTCTGCACATCTAGAATTCCTTTTAAAGGAAAGAGGTGATGGTACACACCCAGATCTTGCCCTGCTGTGCCTCAAGTGTGCGGGTGGGTGCTGCACCTGTTGGGTGCACCATGGGGCTAACCTATCCCTCAGTAAAGAGATAGACCAGAGAAACACCTTGAACCAGTTCAACTTGTTTTTGTTTCAATTTAACCTACCTGCAGGTGAATTCAGTGGGGATGCAGGTCTAACCATTTTGAATTTGAGTCAAAACTAGATTTGTCTAACCTCTTTCAGAGGTTGTCATTGAATTCTTCTTAGCTTGAGAAATGTTTTTTATCTGTAAGCAGATGGACCTTCTGTCTGATCAGACTCTAGAATGCTGTCGCATCTCTTGTGTTTTCTCACTGTCCTGAAAAACCCTAATGTTTTTATTTAGCCCATTCAAATAATATTCCAGTCTGAAAAAGAAACTTGTTTTCCTGCTTTCTTTCCAGAAATATGGTAAAAATGTGGGTTTCAAGACTTGCATATAAAAAAAACCCAATGTTTTCACTGATTTTTTTTTTTGGTATGGTCTTGGAGTTACCTTGTGACTTGGAGCCTTCATGCTTTAGAACATGATGAATTTGGCAGAAGAGCAAAACAAAATAAGGAAAATTGTGTTCCAGCCCTAAGTTACTGGGTAGTTGGCTTGTCTACTTGCTTTTGCATGATCTGATACTCTAGTACGTGAGTGCTCCTTGTTTTAGAGCCAAAAAAGTGAACACAGAAGTGATAAGATTTCAGTTTATAGGTATCTGTAGTGTTAAGCTGCCTTAACTCTTTTCACAGCTGGGCCTAAATTGCTGTACTAAACAAAGTACAGTAATTGTTTTTGGTCAGTTTCTTTCTTTTTTTATGATAATTGTTCTTCCTGTTCTAATGGAACAAAACCCCATTGTTCTAGGCTCCTCACAAATATACACGTTGTCTATGTCAAGAGATCATAGACAAGAAGTTCAAGACACTAAGCAAGTCACCAGCAGGTCTGACTTAACCTAAACTGTAATCTCTTGGTTGGACACTGGGTTATGGAAGAGATGCTTATCAAGAAGCTAGACAAATGCATTAGACATCCCCTACCCAAAATAGCTGAATGTAGATGCGCAAGTTTACTGTTGCTGGCAAGAGCAATGATTACTTTACAATTACTGTGCAGTAATGATTACTACACAGTTTAAGAAGCATGTATAAAACTTGAAATAGCTAAGTCCAGAGTGCTTGTAAACGAAATATATGAGCTTCAAGTTTAAGTAAAATTTTTGAAATTAAAAAAAAAAGTATGCAAGACATATTTAGTCACTTCAGAAACCCTTTTGTTAGAGATTACAGTTTCTGAAATTTGAAAAGTGTTTCTGTGAAATTTGATGTACTTCAGTGGTCATTATTATTCTAGGACAAAGATGAGTGATAAAAGTAGTTACTTTTACGAACGGGGGTTGAGGCACAAACTTGATGTACATCACGGAAACAGTGGAAGATTCTGCAAGGGATTCTCAAGTACTAGTACGAATTCCCTATTAGTCATCACTTGCTGTGCAAAACCAAAATGTACTCATCTTGCATAAACTGAACAAATCTACTGTTGTGTATATCCTATTATATTAAAGACTTGATTGAGCGACATGGGAGAAATCAAAAACCCCCCAAACTGTGCACTGCAGACAACATGCATTGAATTCTAGTGTATGTTGACATATGTGGATACTTCTGTCCTTTTTTTTCTGTCAACAAAAGCAAAGTTTGTGCTTTCCTGGAAATGCACCTCTCTTATGGGATCTGTAAAGCTATCACATAGTTACATACTGTTTTTATTTTTCACTTCAATTGCTGATTGGTCTTAAAATATTACCAGCACTTATTTGAGCAAGAGGAAGATTCCTGTTTGGAAATACTTAATCCTGTGGATATTTAATAGCAATTCTCAGACTCTGGAGGAGCATGGACTCAGGAGACCCTGAAATAGAACTAGTTATCTCTTTCTCTTAAGCCAAAATTATTCTGAGATATCTTCATCTTTTTTGTTAAGTCAAAGGCTTATTTTATTGCAATAATTTTATCTTGTGGACTCATATTCAAGAAGTACAAAGGAGTTTATTTCAAATTGAAAATTACCTTCCATATCCAGCATTTGAAGACATGGGGATTGTTGGTATGAAGACCTAATGGTGTGTACTTAGGTCCTAGCTTATATTCCAGTAAGTCCATGTGTAGACAAGCACCGTACTGGCTACTGGTAGAAGAGTAAACACAGGATTACTTTATTTAACACTGAAGTGGAAAGTGGGTACATTGCGATTCTAAAGTGATTCAGCAGTATCACTAACGTAAATAGTGAAGAATACCTTTGTGGAAAAAAAAACCCATCTTTAGAGGGCATTTTTGCATCTGTCCTTGCAGGACTGAATTGCTCATAAGGACAGTGAGGAGCCTGAAGCACAGAAGAGGAGTAAGCCCTTTTACAAGACTTCTTTGTGGGCAGTACTTTGCTTTCAGAAATTGCAGGAAATAAAGGATCTTAACAACTTGATTTCCTCATTTAGAGAATGCAAGATGCAAAAGCCCACCTTTCACTCAAACTTCTTTTTTTGTCTCTTGTTGCAACTTCATGTCTGGAAGTTTCTCTTCTCACTGATACTGCCTTATGACTCCCCTCTGACTTTTCCTCAAGATTGAAAATGAAATGTTTACAATGTAAATTTAAGTGAGATTTCCCCCCTACCCCCGAATTATTAAATAGAGGGAGGGTTACTCTTAATACTGAGAATATGTGTTTCTGAATAGTTTGTGGCTGCCTCACTCCAAGCCTGAAATTGTTATAAAAGTCTTGGTTCGTGCTGATCATCACATGTTCCTCACTGTGCCTTGACTCGATCGGGAGAAGGGATGAGTGTTGGCTGATAGACTACAGGGAAGGGGTTTTGAGACTAAGTAAAACAGCTTCTTACTACCTTTTATTTCTTCATGGACTTGAATGGGTCAGCAGTAGGTTTGTGGATAAGGACACACCTGCCTGCCTTGAAAAGCTCACAAAGACAAATAACAGCGTGACATTTTGGTGAAGGGGAGGACATGGAGAAATTTTCAGAGATGAGAACAAAGAATTCCTTTTACAGGCACAGACTACAGTGAGAGCCTGTTAGTCTGGAATGAGATGGATTTGTAAAAGGAAGGAAGAAAGCCCCTTCAGTTTGGGTCAAATTCAAGAGATGGTATAAGTAACTACAGGAGCTGCTAGGCGGGTTTGAAGTGTTTAAATCCCTTCTAAGGACCTCATTCAGCAGCCCTTTATCCTTGGATTTGTCTTACAGCTCCTTAAGCTGCATCAAATTTGGCCTGAAAACTCCCAGATCTGTTTCTGTGGGTTGCACTGTCCTGAGAGGCCAAACACCTGACTTCAGGCTAAGCTTTGATTTTATATAAAAGGTATATGCTGACTACTGCTCTGCCATCAGCTGTTTCAAAAGGAAACTAACCACGCAATTTATTTAAAGAATTGTAGACTTCTACCCTCATGAGAGATTTTAAGTTGTGGATTCTGAGCAGGCAGGACAGTCTACGTGTTTGTAGTCCAGACTTGTCCATGTATAGTCCTATAAATGGGAGTATTTCATATACATGGGAGAATGTATTTGAAAACTATACACTGGTTATTGTTTCCTTGACTTTTTTAGGGAAGACTACATAGCAGGTTGAGCTTGATTTTTTTTTGCGGGAGGGGGACGGGGTGTCACACAGCTGGCATTTAACTGTCCTGTGCATTTTATAGGAAACTTAGTTAACCTGGTATGAGTTTAGCACTGT